GTGAATTGCCTGTGATTAATATACTGCAGTGCTTGCTCCACTGCTCTAACCGGCTCTGCTGCGATTTGCCAGGGCCATACTGTAAGACATACTGTAGTGTGTGGTCTTGCAGTGTCCCTGCTGCAGGGCCTGCGGGGACACAGATAGTCCCTGGGTCAGTCCGTCTTGGGCCAGGTGTGGTTAATGGCATTGTGCTGCCCCAGTGCCGCCCTTGGTGAATGGGAGCCTCTAAAGTGGGCCTGTCCCCATAGTGCATCCCTAAAATATACTGTCAGACCAGAAACTATATACAAAATGAAATGCAAATGTAATGTGGTAAATTAAAGGAAAAGAAGATCAATACAAGAGTATGAGTGGCCGGCGAGGCTCGGCCATCCCCTTCGGAAGCGCTTAGGTGGTGGCTACAGTCTGTGCGGCATGGGTTAGCCCCCCGGGAACAAAGGATTTGGAGGTAGCCGGATTCCAGTTGTGTGGTTTGGGGTTTGTGAGGCGTCGTCGTATGGCGTCTGCCGGGAGTCCCAGAGTGGAGAGGTGGGCCTCCACCTCTTGCAAGTCCGCGATGAGGTACGTGGTGTCTCCCTGGAGCACTTGAAGCTTGTGGGGTGAGCGCCATCTGTATCTGATATCTCGCTCGCGGAGCAGGGTGGTGAAAGGCCTAAGGGTTGAGCGCCAGGCCATGGTCCCCCTAGATAAGTCCGGGTAAAAGGAGAGAGTCATGTCCTCAAAGGTGAGCGGTGTAGTGCTCCTAATGGCGGCCATTACTGCTTCTTTGTCCTGTCGCTTCTGGAATTTGACTATTAAGTCCCTGGTTGCTGCTGATGGGGCTGTTGGTGGTTTAGGGATTCTAAATATGCCGTCGAGGCCTACTCCCTTGGCTTGCTTTGGTGGCAGTATTTTACTCACCAGGCGCCGCATGAGGTGGGGGAGTTCAGAGTCTGGAACTGATTCTGCGATGCCCCTGACCTTGAGGTTCTGGGCACGTTGTGAATCCTCCATTGTTGCCATAGCCCCTTCTACCTTCAAGTGTTGCTGTTGCAGCAGTTTCATCTCCTGCTGGAGGGAGGTCACTTGCCTATCATGCGTGTGGGAGTTTAGCTCCACAGTGTCCACGTGGTCCGTAAGGCCCTTTATGTCTCTCCGCATGTCAGCTACGTCCTCCTGAATATTTCGGCGGAGCTCCGCCAGCAGCTCCCTCATTTCAGCTTTCGTGACCAGAGCTGTGTCAGGCTTTGGGTTAGGCTTCTCCGGTGGCCACCTTGCAGGTGAGCAGAGCTCTTCTGGGTCAGAGAGCAGTTCGTCTGAGTCTTCTAAGCCTTCTATGTAGGCGGCCATGTCAGGCTCTGGTGCGCCATGTGCCCGCCGCCACAGGTTTCCTATGCTGGCGCCCGGCCGGGGCAGATCGGGCTTGGGTTTTTTAGTCTTCCTGCCCATTACTGCTTCTTGTGTGGGCAGCTGAGGTGCTTTGGGGGGTGATATTTCCAAGATTAATTGGTCTTTTTAGGCCGATATTGCCAGGAGCTCTCTGCAGATGCGACCTGTCGGTTCAGCTGCTGGCTCCGCCCCCCAGTAGTGTCACCTTAAGAGAATTTTAAACGCACAGGCATTTAAAAATACTAGCCAATACAAAAAAAAATATTGTAAATCAGGACAGAGTTATTCCATAAACTCCAAATTTTATCAATTCAAATCAAAATTTCAGCTAACATATCCAAGATGTGACTATAGAGTTGGGCAATTGTTTTAAGGACCTGTTTCAGCCTCAGTTTTACAGTTTGGATATCATTCACTACACTCCACAGGCCAATGAGTAACCCTGTGAGTTTATTGGAACCCAAATATTGATGGTTATTAACCTGTTAATGCTACAAGGTTATGTAACCATTTGTTAAAGGAGCACTGTCAATTCGCAGGACATTAAGGACTATATTTATAAGGTGTTAAAAAAAAAAAATTACAATTACGTGTAGAAAGGAACACCTTTTTATCCTGCAATAGGACACGTCCATTTTCACTCCCTGTCAATCGTTGTTATAAGCTTTGTTTTCTGTACTTGCCAGTCAGCACAGAGGAGAAAAAACAATGCTTCTATATCTCATCTTTTTTGGCGTTGTTTAACCTGGCCTTGCCTGAACGAGGTTATGATGTCATCTGTTAAATCTTTAATATAAGTTGAAATTCATGTATAACTTGTGATAGTAGGATTTTAAAAAGTTTTATTCAACAGAGTTTGCGGACAGTGGCAGCTCCCCTACATACTAGAAATATTAGCATTGCTAAATTAAAATTTGATTGCTTCAGTTTGAGTTACAACTTGTCTCACTTGGCTTAAATGAAATAGAACTTGCATCAATCAACTATTACATTAACATTCCATTTAATCTTTGTATTCAAGAAGGTGTGTGGCCAAAAGGGATTTTAGGTGGAGGAATTAATGTTGGAGGTCTCTTCCCCAATATTATTCAATGCACACTAGTCACCTAGACCACTTCATCGCATTGAAATGGTTTGGATGCAATGCCTCCCTTAATCCTGCAATTTTAGAGAAACTGCAATAGTTGCATTGCAGTATCAAGACTCTAGTGGCCCTTCCTGCTTCCTGCGTGACTTTTGGTCGCCTAGCCGACGGTGGAGGTCCTCACGCTCTACATGTGGATGATTCAGCGTCCATTAAACCCACACAGGAAAGCATCAAAACAATGCTTTCCTACAGGGAAGGCCTGGATTCTCTAAGAGCTTATGCTAACTGAGGAGCAATTTTGACTCAAACTTCAATGGAGGCACCACTACTCAATAAGCAGGGTAAACCCATACTCTGGTAATAATTTTAACACAAACTTTTGGTTGGATTCTCTTGCAGTCTCATTGCTCAATTCTTTGCTATTTAATAATTAAATCACTGTGTTTCTGTTCATGCAGGCCTAGCAAGACCTCCACTGGCTGTGACTCACACAACTTACATGAAAAGCACATTAACCCCTTAAGGACAGAAGTTTGGTCACCTTTAATTCCAGAAGTTTGGTCCTTAAGGGGTTAAAGAAATAGTTTAGGTACCATAACAACATCATCTAAATAAATTTGGTATGATGCCAGGAGGCCACCCCTGAGTGCTCTTTTACCGGAAGGGGTTAAGCTGCTCACGAACAGTTTAACCCCAAAGGATGCTTCCAGCGCCAATCTTCAGGTTCACCAGTTCGGCACTCTGCTTCTGAATCGGAGTTAGTAAATCTGAGAAGTGGAACCAGGCATGGGCGGAGATGATTGGCTAGAGCGGTCAGCTGATGCTCTAAGCAAATTACTAGCTCCCATTTAAAAAAAAAAAGTTGTTAGGGTGACCAGAGTGTTCCTTTAGAGCAGGATATAAGAAATTCTAATTTAAAACAGACCGTCCAATAAATGCAATGGGAGACTGTAGGTCACATGCAGGGAGGTGTGGTTAGGGCTGCATAAACAAAGTTATTTTATTCCTAAATGGCAAATAATTGAGCAGTGAGACTATAGGGGCATCATCTATATACCAAAACCACTTCATTAAGCAATAGGTTTTTGTGCTTCTAATGTCCCTTTAACTGAAACTATATTATGGATGTCGTTTAACTGTACCTTGAGTGAGATGGCCAATATGGGACTATTACCATTCTCTATTTAATCAGCCCATACAGCTGCTCCAAAGGGCCATATCCTTAGTACAATACAAACACAGAATTCTCTCCATTGATACTTACGGTTGCTAGTCAGTTCACAAAAGTGGATTTCTTATTAGAATATATGCTCTCATCCTGTATAACAGGTCTCAAATTATATGAAAAACTGTTTAATCAAAGAATTATTGGAATATATCTGTCAAAACAAAACTGTAGCCAGCAAAAATACCTTATTGTTCAGGCTTAAAGTGACATTAAACATTAAAATTTTAACAGAAAAAAATTAAAATAAACGGATTGCAACTGGCTAACGGATGATGAAATTGGCCATGCATTTACAGCTGACAATAAGTGGTTCAAACTAAGGATTTTATAGATAATGTTGCTGTAAAATGCCACTATGCGTCTTTTATTCCCCTCTAACATTTGCAGTGTTTTACATTTATGGAGAAAATGGAGTATTGCATGAATAACAAACATCAACGATGAAGTGTAAGTGAATTCCCAAGATTCAAGAAAAAAAAAATACTCATGCAAAGAACAGAATTGATATAATAAACCAATAATTAGATTAACAGATACATTTCCAAAAGAATAACATTTCATTTTAAATTACAAATGTTCATTGGTACCAAGTTTGTAATATAAACATTGTTCAAAGTAAATCAGAGTATTTTACAAACTAACAGACGTTATCCCTTGAGTACTATTATTTTGGAATATCTAAGATTTCCTAATTAAGCACGGGCAGTAGGTTGATGTTAAACATAGAAACATGGAATGTGACGGCAGATAAGAACCATTCGGCCCATCTAGTCTGCCCAATATTTCAAAATACTTTTAAATTTGTCCCTGGCCTTATCTTATAGTTCGGATAGCCTTATGCCTACCGCACGCATGCTTAAACTCCCTCACAGTGTTAACCTCTACCACTTCAACTGGAAGGCTATTCAATGCACCCACTACCCTCTCAGTAAAGTAATACTTCCTGGTATTTTTAAACCTTTGCCCCTCTAATTTAAGGCTATGTCCTCTTGTTGTGGTAGTTCTTTTAAATATAGTCTCCTCCTTTACTGTTGATTCCATTTATGTATTTACATAATTCTATCATATCCCCCCTGTCTCAAATTCAAGATTTTTGGAGATAATTATAATTTTTTACCTGTGTATGCCTCTTTATTTTCGTGTTGTGTATGTGTATATATAAAATACATATAAATAACTTGCCCTCTAGGGTCTAGTTTGTCTATTTGAGATGCTGTACCCACTTGGGTACATTACTAAAAACTGAAGCATAGCAGCTACTACTAGATCACAGTAATTTTACACATTTGAAAATGTGATAAAAACCACTTAAAATAAATAAAACGCCATTTCAATATTTTATTTATAAAAACACAAATAGAAACATTTTGTATGGTATTAATACCAAATGCCATAACAGTTTCTACAAGGAAAAATCAGGAAATCCCAATGTACACATTATTTTCATTAACAGTAGTACCAATTAACAGTAGTACCAAACATACGATTTAGCAGCGTCATTGCACAACTCCTATAACATTGCATAGTATTTAGCCAGGTCTCTACTATAAAGTGCCATTTAACTAGTGAAGAAAAAAAAAAAAGAATTAAAAAAGCAACCTAACCTCCCGTTACTTTTCAGGATCATAGTAAAAGTGTGTAGTGTAATTTCTGTGAAGGTAGTCAGAAGTGTAAAATGCATTATGTGTCATGTACATCACGAGCAGGCTGACACAAACCACTAAAATAAAAATGTAATATTCACTAAACTTAAAGGTGCTGTAAATTCAATGAAAGACTGCTTTGATACCAGTCGATTTTGCGCAATCATTGTGTAAAAGTGGATTAGAAATAGGGAAAAAAAAATAATAAAAGTGACTTTAGTATTCTAACTTTAAATAACTTCTCATGTTGCATTAGGTAGGTTATACATAATACCAAGTAAAATAAATGAATGCATGTGCTCATTAGTGATTCATTGTGTTTTGGGATTTTCTCCAAAAGCTTGACAGGGCTAAAATACGGTATATTTTACAGAACATAAATATCACATAAAAACAAAACAATGGCATAACATATCTGTAACGAAACAGCATTTAAATTCATGAGATTTAAAATCCTTCAATGCCAGAGCAGAACAAGTAATAAATACATTTACAATATCTGTTCACATTAACCCTCGTGGCAGAAGGAGTGCACAAAGCTCACCCTATTGGGAATCAAGGGCTCAGACTGCAGCAAGGTAACTGGTTAAAACACAGTTTACCCTGGTCATTAATAAAGGGTCATAAAAGGTCTGTGGAACCAGAAATTGGTTGGTTCTAGTTTATTTACCCCCATTACACTTTTAAATAAACCATAAAACACATTTAAAGCAAATCAGCTGAAATGACAATTAAAGATGACCACAACTAATTTTGACATTTAAAATCGGAGGATTCCTTCTGAACGTAATTTACTCCACCATTTATGTGAAATGGTCACATTGAAAATGTACAGACAGACCAACTGTGCTATAGACTTACACTGCAGCAGTTGGAGAGGTGACCATGGAATGAGCAGAAAAAGGGAAATACAAACACAGAAACAAAACCACACGCACAAAATAAAGTTCAATCAATGCACTGGTGAATTTGGTTGTAATGTATTCACTTTAGTAAAAACAAGAGATCATAAACTTGTTTCTCCTCGCAATATCGAGTGGGATATTGAAATTATGTTTCATGAGAGTAGTCCAAATGTTTAGCTGTAATAGATTGCACCAGACAAATTTCTCCTCCACCCATTAAGGCAAATGCAGGGTACATTGTTCCAATGCAGTCAACTTCACGTTCGTATAAGCATTTCATGGTGTTTGCATCGTAGAACCCAACAACACCTTTATCGTAGTCTAGACAAACCCCTATCCTGTTTGGGAGAGGAAGAACTCTCTCTGTGTGGATACTGGATACATTGGAAGCCTTGGGGATAAAGAATTTCTTCATTCCTATAGTAGCCAGTGTAAAAGGCTGAGATGCATCATAAGAAATGTCTTCACTTCCACTGTCATGTCCACTGTCCTGATCATATCTATAAAAATAAATAAAGTGTGTCAAATGTGCAATGCTTACATCCTTTTGATTTCAATGTGTAAGGAAAAGAAAAATACGAGCATTTAAACCAGGGCTCAACAAATACCAGTCGCCAGGGCAACTAAGAATTTTTCCTGGCTCATGGATTTGTCAGCCTGTTGTCTCCATCCCCATGAAGCTATGCGCTCGCCGGAAGGAAGTGATTGGTGATTCAATTACTTACCCCCCTGCCGCATATGGGAATTGCAAGCTATAAGGGCACCGTTTAAAGATGGCTCTGCTCGCCGCCCATCACCTGCTCCCATTCCAGAGCGTGAATCCCACCCAACCCCATTCTGCACAGCTGGCCGCTCGCCTGCTCCCCTGCATCGGGATGAAGTATTTACAGTTCCCTTCACTTCCTCCTGGCGTGCATAGAGCTGCATAGAGATACAGGAGGAAGAGGGAGGAGTTTTTACCAGCGGCAGCACTCTCCCATCAGACGCAGCCAAGCCCATTGACACCTGCTCCTGTTAAGTCCTACTGGAACACAGGGGAGCCACACTCCTGCACCCAAAAGGTAGGAAACAGGAGGGTGGCTAAAAATATGAATTGTGTGTGTATATCTGTCATATGTGTATGTCTGTATCTATGAATCTTTGTGTTTGTATCGGAGTATCATCAGTTATGACACCCACAAAATATCTTTACTATGTGCACACAAAGCAAGTTTAATTGCCTTCAGATTGTTCATTTCATAGGTTTTCTAGGAATCTAATTGCAGCATACACACTCCAACACAGGTTTACACTGAGAGACATGTATATTGTGTGCATAGAAATCACCAACACGTGACAAGTACTTAAACCGCCAGTAGTGCAACACATTTTTGTGTGTGAATGAAAATACAAAAATACAGCAGGCTCTTTAACCTTGTTTGGTTTCCAGGTAAAAGGCTTACATTTACGCAAAACGATTTCATTAAAGAACTATATTAATGTCCTCTGGTTTCAGAATTCCTACTCCTATTATATAGAGACTGTAGATAAGGTATACAGAACACACATTACATTATTTTAATTACTTAGGATGTTGTACGGTACCTTGGACTACTTATGTCACGAGGATTATGAAGCCATTCTTGCAATTTAATATCGGATGCAACTCCAACTTTCACCAAGTAAGAATGGGAAGCAACGGAAATGGCCCAGAAGTGCCTCCCTTTTGTAATTCCACAATCACCAATAATATAATCAAGGCACATGTAGCAGCCAACCTGAACACGCTCCGCACCATGCAACAAAGGAAACCCAGCAATGCTTTCCACTGTGTCTCGCTGGGCATTAAGTAAAATGTGCTCTTTGCTGTATCCACATTTATCATCAAACAGAAAATTAAACACTGTTGAAGAAAAGAAAAAAGAAATAAAAATAAAAAACTTTTATACCAATTGAACTCATCATACATAGTGATTCATTTTAAACATGATGGAATACATAGAGAGTAATCAAAACTTCCTCCTTAATGGTTTTTCTAGAACTGTAGTCTGTATCACCTCACACCAATTAAAGAGATACTATATGGCTTGTGGAGAAGCTTGGAGGCCACTCCTTCTAGGGACTGCTTGCCCTCAGGACAGTGACAATTGTAGGTGTACACTTCCCTTCCCATTAATGTCTCGGCTAAATACATTGTTTTAGCAGGGCATTGCTCTAGTGAGCTAGGAGAGGTCTCCAGACCAATCTAAATTGGTTGCCTTGGTACCCACTAACATCTCCCATATGCACCACAGTTGCCCTCACCCCCTCCACTGTAGATATAGTGCTCTATTTATATATATCACTATTTGGGTGATTGTGCCGAGATGCCTGGTGGCATGGAGTAGGGACGAACGCAGTAGCAGTTTCATGTCTGAACCCAGCACCTTGATCCTGTTACAGACGATACCTTTTTACAGACCTACTTAAAATACATGGTTTCCAAAACAGGCAAAAGATGCACGAGTTAGCATACCTGGAGCTGGAGGCATTTGCAGGGTAACCTCCCTACTACGAGAACTGCACACAGAACCTCGGCATCCTCGCACTCTGAAACTGTAGGCACTGTTGGTTTCAAGGTCAGACAATATTTTAGAAGTAGATGTTGTTTCAACCTCAGTCCATGGGATATCTTCGTTTTTGTCAAGCTTTCGATATTCTAGGATATAGCTGTCAACAGAATCTTCATGGTCAGGCTGCTTCCAACAAATCTTAGCTTTGTTGTAGACATAGCTCTGGTCTACATCGATTTCTGGTATATCCAGTGCTAGATTGCAAAAATAAAATAGTAAGTAGGCACTTTAATAAACTTTCAAATATTAATAAATTATCAAAATTTGTATTCAAGCTCAAATACAACTTGTATTACTTGTAACCCAGTGGTGGTTAGAACCTAGAACCCCCAGTAGTTTTAATTAAAAACCTCTCATAATGCTTTGTTAGCCTTGAAGGGGATAGGCCACTTTCCAGGATTTGTATTATTAGGTTTACTTATTCTTGGATTTAGCAAATATGTATGTGAGGCAAGAAAAATAAAATTAAAATGTAGAAAGTTATTCCTCATCCTGTGACGGGATGCATCCATCTTCGTTCCATGCTATTATAAACTCTGCCCTTTGCAGCAAGATGATTACAAATTATAGGTTGTCAATGTTATATTTAACGGTATAAATTCCAGAGAAGTAACAGTTCGTCTTTAATGTCGGCAAAGCATCACCTGTTTTCGATCAGTTAGGGTAAATCTTTGGACATCCCTTTATTTTATACAAGAGATACAAATTTATATCAAAGTAATAAACACTAAAATACCATTTGTTTAAAGTGCACGTGTTACACAAAAACAACGTTTTATTGTTTAAGAGAAAATAAAATTGAATCCATGCATTGCGCAGGTGCAAACTGCTAATATATAGTTTTTTGTTTTGCGAGCGCTCTAAAATTACAGAGGCCAGGATTTTTTTATTGTTTTCTCTATGTTCTTTTAAATGGTTTCCAGTCTAACTCACATGAGCAAATACTTATTGATAAAGATTGTCTTATTTATTGCTTTTATCAGAGTAGTGTATTTTGTTTCCCTACCTTTGGTGAAGGCAAGGTCATTTAGCAGATCTACTTCTTTCGACACATCAACAAAATATTCTTCAAAATTAGAATCTGCAGCTGGACGGAATGTTTTCAGAGAATCTGAAGCTTTCTGAATTCTGCAGAAACAAACCCCAAACAAAATGAAATAAAGCAACATTAAATGCAAAGGGCAAAACAAGCCTAAAGGGATCCTATAGTGCCAGTAAAACAAAGTTTTCCTGGCACTATAGGGTTATTAGGTCCACCCTCTTCCCTCAGGGCTGAAGGGTTAAAACCCCTTCAGCCACTTAACTGAATCCAGCGCCGATGTCCCTCGGCGCTGGGTCAGGCTCCTTTCATGGATATTTTACTTCTATAAACATGGTTGAACAGAAATGGGGTATAGAGGATAAACGACAATGTAAGCAAAGTACAGAAAATAAAAATTGAAATCACTCACTTTGTACAACGAGCATGAGTGACAAGGTTGTGTTTGTGTACATTTCTGATTGTTAATAGACCGGTTATGCATATCGGTGTGGGTGACTACTACTCTGTTAATGAGAGAAGCATTGGGGATATAATGTGCGTGTGCGGCAAACGCACATTCTAATTTCCCCTTAGAAAAGCATAGTACTCAATACTTCTAAGCTTTCACATCATGTGACCGTTTTACTCCATCAGTACAATGTTAGCACCTCTAGTGACTGTAAAGGGACACAAGTCACAAGAACCACTACACCGTAAAACTTTTCAGATAAAATGCAGTGTTTGCCAATGGAGATGTTTCTAGGCACCAATGTACTCACTTAGGCAACCACTAAAAGTGCTTCCTGTGTCAGTGCTGCACAGTAAGCAGCACTGGCATTCAGTGTCTGCACACTTTGCATAAAAGCTTTGAATGTTCCCCATAGAGATGCATTAATTCAACGTATCTCTACAAGGAGATGCGGATTGGTGCAGCGTGGCGTTTTGCCGCAAATGCACAATAGCCTAATACTTTCCTATGGAAAAGCATTGAATTGGCAGAGATCATCAAGTTTGATGATCTCAGCCATGAAGGACGAGCTAGGCAGAGCCAGCCGTGGTGAGACCAGAGTGGCATGGGAAAAAAGAGGAGCATAAACACTTTCAGCACGATCTGAGCGGGGCCAGGAAACCTAAACAGTCATACCAGGATTAGTGTCAGGAATACATTTTTGTATTCCTAAAAATATATAGTGTTCCTTTCATCCTGCAATGTAAAGAGTGCAGCTAAAAACTGCATTGTTTAACATAACAGGACCTTGCACCCAGACCACATCATTGAGATGACGTGGTCTGGGTGACTTGGGTCCCTTTAAGTCCTGATGAATGAATTACAAAAGCCATCTTGAAAGTGTCCTTTCCAAGCCTCATGTCTATCACAAATTAAAAAATATATATATAAAACTATTTCAAGCATAGGTTACCTAAGCACTCTTTTCTACAAATACAAGCAGACTATATACACACACCAATTTTTGTTTACTTCTATACATTATGCAAAAATTTCAACTAACTCTAAAAATGATAGAACTGTAAATTTACTTCAGGATTGTATTGTAAGTGACAACACATTTAGACCAAAGTCTAAATTCTCCATTAAAGGAACAATCCAGGCACCAACACAACCTTTAAGCATTTACTAGCATATATCCTAAATCTCCCTCTACTTCCCAGCACTATACAATAACACAGTTGTACATGTCATCAAGAAGCCGAGAAAACATTAATATTTATACAGCACCAACATGTTCCGCAGCAATAGTATAACAAAGGGAACTCTTTTTAGATTCTCTCCCCCCCCCCTCCCCCCCTTTATACTGCTACAGTAGGTTATGCAAAAGAGTTCAGACTCCATAAATTAGAATAATAGGCTCCTGACTGGCCAACTTTCTGAAGTTGTTAAAGCTCAATTTGTGAAGGATTTGCACATAAAGAAAAGCACACAAAGTACTATAAGCACTACAGTGTGCCCTGGCATCCCACACACCCAACACAAGTAGTCAAGCAGTTATAGAACGTTTTGACTTCTTACCTGGGATCAGCCAGGAACTTCTTCCCACCTCTCTACAGATGGAAGTAAAAACTGTTGGCTTGGAGCAAAAAAAACTTTGCTGTGCAGGGCCTACTCATCAGTAAGCAAGATACACTGAGATAAAAGCTTCCAGCTGAAACAGAGACTGATAAGAGTGAAGATCCATGAAAGAAGTCAAACTGTTCTACATCTATTTGGGTGGGGGATGGGGAGACAGGACACTCAAGTACCATGGTTATGGTGTTTGGAGTGTTCCTTTAAATGACCACTATAGGCACCCAGACCACTTCAGCTTAATGAGGTGGTCTGGGTGCCTGGTCCAGCTAGGTTTAACCTTTTTTTCTATAAACATAGCAGTTTCAAAGAAACTGCTATGTTTATAAATGGGTTAATCCAGCCTCTAGTGGCTGTCTCATTGACGGCCACTAGAGTTGCTTCCGCGCTTCTCACTGTGATTTTCACAGTGAGAAGACGCCAGTGTCCATAGGAAAGCATTGAGAATACTTTCCTATGGACTGGCTGAATGCGCACGCGGAGAGAGGAGGAGGAGAGCTCGCCGCCCGGCGCTGGGGAAAGAGGAACATTTAACCCCTTCCTCCCCCAAGAGCCTGGCGGGAGCACTATAGATCCAGGAAAACGAGTATGTATAGATTAGTATAGATCATATTTTATTATTGATTTTTTTGTTGCATGAGAACTTTTAACGTCTTCAAATTCCCCATAGGAAAGCATTAATTCAGTGCTTTTCTACAGGGAAACTCGAATGTGATTGTAGCGCTATAGTCATAACGTCGGGGGAGAAGGAGACCACCAGTGCCAGGGGAGCTCGGGTCTGGAAAGAGGTAAGTCAGGGAGGAAAAAAAAAATAGATTTGAACCCTTTCATGACTGATGGTATTTGTATCCCCAACGCTATAGTGTTCCTTTAAAAAGCAAACAATTTACGATAATCCTTCCACACCATTTTTTTTCCCATCTGAATTTCATTACTAAATCATTAAGTGTACTTATCAGTACTTAAAAGGTATATAAAAAGTGTAGCAGGATACCTGGTGTGTAGTTGCCTTGCAGTTTGAACAAAGCAAGAATGATCAGTTTCCTTCAGTACTTCCTGTGCATATCCCACTAGTCCATTATTTTCCAAAAGGCCTTGATATTCCTCCATCTGGTTCTGCAGCTTCTCCAACCTGGTTGACTTTGAATTCTGAATAGATTTTAGGGCAAACGTTTTTCGCTCCTCCAAAATATTATACAGCTTCTCAAAATTGTATGTTGCCTCTTCATAAGCCCGATCACCATTGATCTAAAAGAAGATACAGGTTGGCTAATACTCAGATCTAAATGCTAGTATTTGTAATACAAAACACCATGTTTTCATATACTACGGGTAGTCCAACATCCAACATAAAGGGGAAATGCCACTTCCAAGGATTTTTAATACGATTATTCATCTCTATATTAAACAAATACGTATTTGAGGTTAGAAAATTAACACGTTAAGGACGGAAGCAGCTGTCCGACTTCTGAACCAAAACAAAATCTAAAATTTACTGTGTTTATTCCACCGTAATTAAAAGGTTAGTGCCTTTATTATACTTTTATTTTTTTTTTAATATCATACATGTATACCTAAAACATTAGGAATAAATAAAATATAAATATTGAGGGGGAGAGGAGAAGGGAATTTTTCTCCTCAGTTTTAACTTAAAGAAGTTTTACACATCAAATAAAGAAAAATAATTCAAAATAGATATACGTATTAGTTCAGATTGTTGAATGCCTCGTGTCATGGATCAAATAAATTTGTTAATTAACATTAACTAACAACTGTACACCAAATCAACCCCTAACCCTATTCTCACACTAATTGCTAACTGTACACCTAACTTACAAGTAGCTCAACACTAAAAATTGCATTAGCCCATACACCTAACCATCACTCAAAGGGAAGGATTTCTCATCTCACATAGTACAAAGCGCTCTGTACTATGTGAATGCAAATTGAGAGGGAGATCTCCCTCTCATGCTGCAGCTCTTGCATGAGAGCTCACCTGCCAGTCTGAGGCCACTAAATATGGTCCCAGCTAATAGAGGAGGCTCTAGGTATCAATTGATACCTGGGGCTCCCCAGTGTGAGCAAGGATTTAAGCCTGATCACACCAAAACTGTAGGACATTCCAAGCTGTCCAAACTGCATGGAGGCCCACTATTTTAGGCTGGCATGGAACGCCCCAATGTCATTAAGGGGTTGAAGTTGAATGTAGGAGTCCACAGCTCCTAATCATGTAACTGGGTGCCTCCATCTTAGCGCCATGTCAATTGTTTTATAAGCATTGCCCTTTGCACCTGGCAGTCAGTACAGCATAATTATACAGAGAAAGGGGAAATGTTTCTTTTCCTTATCTTCATTTACAAGGTTTACTTTGGCTGTGCCTAATATCAATTTAAAGAAAACTAATCATCTCACTGAAAATGGTTAACACAAGTTAGCGGTGATTTTCAGTATTTTATTCAGTGTTGTAAAATCCAAAGTAGTGACTGTTCCCCTTCAAACTTAACCACCATAAAAAAAGTGAAAACTCAATGGCTGTAACATATTTGACACTAAAGATTATTATGGATAAATTTGATTACAGCAAAATCCCAGGAAAATAGTGGACAGCATTATGTGATTTAGTAATCATGTAAAGAGTCCATCTATAAAATAAGAAAACAGCATTCTCTTCCCAATATGTTGCTAAGTATTGATTTAAACTACAAAGGCCCCACTGCCAAAGACATTAAGGGACAAAGGTGAGCAAAGTGCTTTTAGAAGAGGTTGCTAAAAACACTACCTTAAGAAAATATAAACATGCATATGACTTGTCCACCATGAGCTCTGCAATGTAAATACTTACCACCGTCTGCTGGATCAGTATCTCCAGTTCACAAATTTGGGTCCTTACTTGGCTTTCTTTGCTAATGAGATAGCTTATGCCTTTTGTAAGTTTTTCCTGAATGAAAAAAAAAAAAGAAAAAAAAAAAAAGGTATACAGGTTTAAAAGTAAATAAGCAAACTAGAACAGTACAAGTTTGTAGTATATAGTAGAGCTACAATGGCACTTACTTTACAGCTATTTTTTTATATCACAATCCCATCAGAATGAAGTGGAATTGATTATAATTTACTGTGGTGATATACAACAGGATGAAGAGGTTCATTAATAAAGCATGTCAATTTAAATGCTTGTTTAAACAGGAATGTTTAAAATCCTACATAGTAATTGTGACAAAACACCGTCACTTATTTGTATATTTTCCAGATTCCTTTTATATTTTAGTCACCCTGTGCCCATTATTGGTGCAGGGTAGGTTAAATGTATCGTTTGCCTGTGCCTCTCCCCCTCCCATTCCTAGCAGGGCTCTGTCCCACTAGCTGCTTTGTCCCTCTTCCATTCCCCCTATCAGCTTCTTGAGAGTGAAACCCCTGGTGGATTGTTTTGGAGACCCATGTCTGGGTCTGTGCATGTAAAACCTTGTGTGACAAAAACAAAGTCAGAGTTGTATCTCCAGAGCAGTGTCTTGTCCAGTTACTGGGGGAAAGGGATGTCTGCTTGTGTTAAGGGTTCCAGAGTGGCTGAAGGAAGGTAATAGCGGAGGTATCCCGGGTATAGCCGGGTTACCCGTGGTCCGCTACAGTAATCACTCTATTTCAGGATGGGGATAGTTCGTCATTGGTGGTGTATGTTGGTAGTTTCTAGGAAGACTAGGAAGTGGCTGACAACAGCCAGTTCTGGTTGTCCCACAGTTTTCCACTGGTAGCAAAGGCCATTTCCAAGGAATCATTGAGTGAGCAGTTTAGCCGCCTTTAGAGTACAGCTCTCACAGAATGCTGTACATTATATGGCTGTATTTTTAACTTTAACAGAATGATTATGTTCATGACCCTCCAGTATCCCTATCAGATACTCAACAGATTCATAGATTTAAGAAATTTAAGCTTTCAGAGCACGTTGAAAAGAAGGTGAAAATTCTGCTAAGATTAATAAAAAGGTCAGGAGACCGGAATATAGAGAGAAAGTAAAACAGCATTTATTATCAACAATCTCCATCAGGGTTATGTTTAGTCATTATGAATAGTGCTACATATTGCAAAAGAGGAACTATTCATACTTTTTGTCAACGTAAGTAAAAACGTTTAAAAAAAAATAAATAGGCAACTACTCTTTCTTCTACAAAATTATATGAATATACAGTCCTCTTAAAAGGTGAAGAGTATTTTTCTCTAAAAATGTAAAATTGTTTTGCACTCTGAATCAAGTCTGTCACACAGGGCTTCGTTCATCAGCTGACACTCTACTTAGCTGAGCTCGCCATTAATACCAAGGTTTAGCTCAGGAGATCCAATGGATGCTCCATGCTGAAGCCCCCAGCTCTACATAAAGGCAGTGACCAACACACAGTGGACTGCAGGTGAGAAGTTAAACCATTCGTAAAATGGTTTGAGACTACTTACATTAGAGGGGTGCCATGGCAATCTTGGCACCATAGTTACTGCAGCCCAGGTTGTTCATTTCATAGTAAAAATTAATGTGGGCGTTAATTCACTGATTGATTTTTCAAGCTCTCAGACTATCAAAGCAGTTCGTTTGGATGTAAAACAGAAAGGCTGGGTGGGCAGGAGGTCTCTGGATAGGCATAGTTTTTGTTAACACTGCCTATAAAATGGAAGCAAGTAGAACAGAACCACTACAGTGAGTGAGCTTTAATAGTCGTGGTGCTTTGTCACATGTTGAGCCTTAAACATTTCTAAAATAAACATGCTTACCTTTAGTGTTTTGTATGCATTACTCATTGTTGTCACTCTGTGGTTTGCATGTGCTCCTGCTAGTTTACACAAATGACAAACAGGCCTTCTGCAGATTTCACAGTACATATTGACTTTTTCCATTTCATGCTCTGGGCACATGAGTACCTGGGAGGAAAAACAGAGGGCAGAGCTTACTGAACCGAACTAAACAAATCATCACACAGTGTGAGACAAGACAATCTCTTACCCAACCAACCCTAAACAGCAGCCCACAAACAGTATGGCCTGGCCGGGAAACGCATGCAGGCGTAGCTGTGCCTTACAGAAGCAGGATACCATGTACATGACATTTATGGCTTATTCACCAAGTGTTCCTTTTCAGTTTAGTTTTCTGGGGATCAGATAAGTGAAGTGGCAATATCCACATAAGATAAGAACCACTGAAAATCTCTTCCCTGGTGCCCACTCTCTTTCAAAAGAAGATATACCAGAGTATGCACATATTTTGTACTTTTTTTCCCTAAGATGCTCGATTATAATGGGGGATGCTTTTAGATGCAGTGGGAGAGAGCAGCTGATTGCTCAAGTTAATGGATTACTTGGTAAACTCGAATAATGAAATGGCTGTCCATGTTTTAGCAGTGTCTATACACTTCCTATTAGATTAATTATTTTTGCAACTAATTAAAAGGTTATTCACTAAAGTGAGAATTGCTGGGAATTCAAAGTGTTTTCCAGATTTAAGGCCAAAATAGCAGACAGATTTTTTTCCAGTTTAGCCATTTTGGTATTAAAATTTTAAATTCAACTTAAATTCTAAACCAACAGTTCTCACTTTAGTAAAAAAAAAAATAAAAAAAAAATCCTGCAAGTGTCTGGCCTTGTGAACGAACATCAGGATGCCTGAATGCATGTTTTATGCCTGGAGTATCCTTTGTAATGTCTTCATATCCATAAATGGCTCAGCATATCTATATCATCACTCATTGCAGAAGCTGTTACAGAAAGCATTCTAAAATTAGCATTTATTTCTGTAGCATAATAGATAGGAATTTGCCATCTCATAAGCAACCACAATTTTCTACAGAGGAACTTTCTGAATACTCTAGCATGTAAGCTCATCGAGCAGGGTCCTCAACCCCCTCTGTTCCTGTACGTCAGTGGTCTGATCTCAATTATGTGTATGTTAGTCCACCCACTGTACAGCGCTACTGAATTTGTTGGCTAATAATAATAATAATAATAATACTCCTCTTTTGGAAGAAACCAACCTAACCTGTTTAAAAGTCACATTAGAGTTTAACTGTTTTTCTTTTAAAAGGACCACTATAGGCATCCAATCAACATCTCAATGAAGTGGCCTGGGTGCCACATTCCCCTAGTTTTAACCCTGCAGCTGAAAATAGTTTCAGAGAAACCGCTATGTTTACACTGCAGGGTTAATCCAGTCTCTAGTGGCTGTCTCCCTGACATCCACTAGAGGCCGCTTCCACGATTTACACGGAATAAAGCACACTTATTTGACGCTGGACATCTTCATGGACCTCCAGCGTCAAAAAAGATCCCCATAGGAAAGCATTGAGTAATGCTTTATTATGGGCGGGTTTCAATGCACGCGTGCCTCTGGCCGCGCATGCGCTTTCAGCTCCACTCGGGAGCCGACGTCATTGGAGGTGGAGAGGTCACCAGTGCCAGGGCAGCCCGGCGCTTGATTAAGGTAAGCAAAAAAAATGGTTAACCATTTATTCGACACAAACAGGGCCATAGTCACTGTTTAGGTGACTAGGGCTCTATAGCGTTTGGAATACATATTTGTATTCCTAACGCTATAGTGTTCCTTTAAGCATGTTTATTTGATCAGGTACAATTACAAACACAGGGTCGGAGAGGGCAATGCTCAGTGGAGCTCAAATTTCACAGTATTTTATTTACTCCTACTAGCAAGTGTTTATATGCGGGTTATCAAGAAAGATTAACGTATACATTTGTTGATCACTAGTAAATATTCACTGCGTATTGATGAACGCAGTACCTCAATAGCTAGATTTCCTTTAAAATTATATAGCAACTACCAACAGCAATTGCAGGTAAAATAAGTGTGCAGGGGGCGGGGCTGGACCGCCATTCCGACAGGTTGCATGCCCGAGCACCTCCTGGGGTCTTCGACTTGCAGAGCTGAAAAATCAACGGAGCCTGACCCTATCTGGAGCCTAAAAGCAGGGAACTGCTACTTGGAAGACAGCTGGTGCCGGCCCCAAATTCGGGAATTCTAAAGCCTGAATCCATACGAGACCTCGGAAATTGAGGCCTAATCGAGTGAGGTGGACAGCCGCCACTTTGCTTCCTTGTTCACTGCCCCACGCTGGCTTTTCAAAGGCGCAGCAGAAAGGTCCCTTTTCTCCCCCCTCTGGACCTGTGGAGGTCATCCCGGTCCCTGCCAGCACACCTATCTACTGGGCCAAACACATCTAAGATGGCCGCAATTTCAACTGCGAAACATAAGGCAGCAGACGCACCCATAGTAGAAAGCGGTCTTTTGGCGGGCTTCTGCACACTACTCCTGGAACAGCGTGGTGTGGGGGGGGGAGGGGGGAGAAGAGTACCGGGAAGGTTACCCTCAGACTCCGAACAGGCAGCTCTCTATACACAAACAGAGAGGAAGGGCTGCTAAACATGGCGAGCTGCTTCCTGATCACACCTGGAGCTGGGAGTGTGAGACCGGAGGATCCCCACTGGCTACGCTGATCATCTCCTAAGACCGGTCTCTGGCTGGACCCCACAGCCCCCTGAGTTTATCCTGTCTAGGCATAGGCTGTCATTTTGCTAAATCCTGTATTTAAGCATACATTAAGCTCCTTAGCTCTTTAGAGTTGCCATACCGATTACTATTGGTTACTACGGAGTAAAGCACACTTATTTGACGCTGGACATCTTCACAGACCTCCAGCATCAAAAAAGATCCCCATAGGAAAGCAGAGTAATGCTCCCTTTTGTTTAAGATTTGCTAATCTCAGTTTTCATCAGTTAATACTTGTTTGACACTGTCTAGCATGAATATTGCCTAGCAAAGATACAAAAATGTCACCATGCAGATGTGCTGGCAGGCTTTCTAGCCAGGTCGTTGATAATCTAGCAGCATTGCTTGAATTCTCTTGTAATTTCCTTACAATAGCCTTAGCTTAAGCGACAACATACTCTTGTTTAGTACACTATCAAAATGAAGATTCTTCGACATGCATAACACGATTGCGATTATTTTTCTCAAAGTTTTACTCATGTCTATTTCTTGCCTCTTGAATGATTTATACAAAAAAAAAAAAAGTGCAAGCCTCTTCACATGACCTGTTATGTACATGCAATTCACCTTCTCATTAACTTTTAATGTCATGTAAACTGCTTGTGTCCCTTTGCACGCACTACTAATATAAAGAATTAAAAAATAAATAAGTGTGCAGTGCATTCTATTTCTTGAAATATCCTTTTAAATGATCAAGTAATCTTTTAGAATTTATGGAAATATGTAGCTATATTAAATATGAGGGAAACTAGTGTTTAACAGATACATAAGAACGGCAACATGTTTTGGTTCATAAAATGGTACTCTAATTACAATAACCAGTACAGTTAATTCGAGCAGACAGGATGCCAGTCTTTGGGTGCAGTCACTACATTTTTATCAAATTGCTTTCAAGTAGTTCTTTACTGGGGCTCTCTGCAGCCAATGAGGCAATATAGAAGACTCACTCACTGCATTATCCGGCCAACAATGAGCTGCCATGGTATGGTTAAAATACACATTACACAAAATCAAAATCAGTTTTCATAAAGGGAGGATCTTGTGGAAATTCTAATTTAATCGCTCAGCCATAGAGAGAAGTTCTGGTGCATCAGTGTTGACTCTGGATTAAGAAGTAAAAAAAACTCACCCTAGAGAAGCACTGAGCTAATACATCTCTAGGAGTAGATGTTGACTAGTGCAGCATGGCAATTCGTGCACACGCACTAGGCCCTCAAAGTTTCCCCTTGGAGAAGCATTCGATTGGTTACATCTCCACCTGGGGAGGAGCATCAGCTGCGGCAAGACTGGTGCTGAAGGAGACTAAAGGAAATGTTAAACTCTTTATTAAGTCATAAATAAGCAGCCATAAATCCTACATTTAGAAAAACACACCAACGTTGGGAATAGAGGTTTGTAATCCCAATGGCAAAGCATTCCTTTAAAAGGGATATTTTAAGCAGAAAAAATACTATGTTAATGTAGTGGTCTTGGTAGCTAAAAGCAGTCCCTTTTCTCACAATGTAAATTAATAGGTTTCAAAAAGAAATAAATACAATGGTATTGTTTAAAGGTTTCCTTCTTCACAACTTCAATGGTCTAATTCCTTCATGTTTGGCATCATCAAAATCGCAGTTAAACTAGGATAATGCTTCTCTGTGAAAAAAATCCAATTGGTACAGCACAGCAATGTCTGCGCATGCACAGTAGAGCCTACATTGCTTCACTTTAAGCAGCTACCGCAATTCAGAGCTGGGAAAAGATTAAATGGTTTATCTGTACCGATTTGTATTTGGACATAAATATTGGCTTCTAGTATTATCAACCACTAGCTCAGTTAGACAGTCATTGGCCAAACTAACTGCACTTTCTACAGGAATACTCCACAAAGTTAGCTGCAAGTTGTATTATAGCCATAACTAAAAGCCAATGTTTTCTGGTTTCTAGGGCCTGTAATTCTTTAACACAGAACCAATTAATTATTTTCTGACAGACTACAAGAGGCACGCTGAATGCAATGCTCTAAGCATCGCCCATTGACAAAAGGGAAACAGGTGAGCAGGTAAATAAGTTCTCAACATTTGTGGTTTATTTATTTATTTTTTATTAGTTTGCTTAATCTATATTCTGCTACTAAAACAAGCCATTGAAATAGAACATTATATTGGTGACATTGGCAGCCCTGTTGTATAAATCTTAACGTTGCAGACACCCAGAATCGATCATGGCACCTAATGCTTTAAACTTATTATAGTGGTACATGCAACACTGTAGAGCAAAGACTCACTAAAGTGAGCATTCACAGGGAATTTCAAATTTAAGGTCACAATAGCCAAACTGTGTAAAATAAATAAATAAATGTCGGCTATTTTTTCAGTTCGGTTGGCTTTGGCCTTCACTTGGAATTCTCCCTTTAGTATTAAAAAAAAAAAAAAAAAAAAAAGCCTCTAGTAGAGAAAATGTATTAACCATTCAATACAGAATGTATTACAACCGTGTAATAAGGATGAGCATCAACACTTATTCATAAGTTGAACATGTTGCTCTATGTTTGTATGGTAACCTCACAGTATTTTCTCACGACAAAAAACAAAAAACAAACACATTTTAAAGAATCACTTAAAGAATTTAAAAAAAAATAAAAAAATAGATTTGGCAGACTTTGTTAACACAGGGAAAAAGCCATGGATTTTGGAACCTTATGGTACAATAATTAGTATAATTCCTACCTTCGGTCTGAAGTTTGTGGTTGGCCCTACATATTCATGCTGGGCTTTTATTGTTCCCCAAGGATGGTTGACCTTGAAACATTCATTGCAGAAGCTTGCATTACAATCCATGCAGCTTTTAGTGGATTCTTGCGCAGGAGGCTTGCAATAGTCACACATAATAGCGGTGGCCGCTCGAGCTGCTTGACGGTATCGTTCTACAATAGTCTCTAAAGTAAAATTCCGAAACAGACCACTGATACCCCGTTCACCAAGGTCTATATCATGCAAACATCCTGGGCACGATAAAGTGGTCATCCTTGGAGTCAATGAATTGCGCTTGGAACCTACGAAGATTAAAGATCTTTGTTAAAACTATTGCAGGGAGAGACTATAAATTCTACATCACACACATGCAAATCAAAATCAGAAGGTCCACAAAATTACAGAAATGAAAGCTACTTATAGTTATTCTGGAGAAAAATCTTTCATGTGGCACAGCTATCAAAAACAGTACCAAGGAGAAATGATCGACCTCTGAAGCACGAACTAATACTACATATATACATTATATCTACAGGACTAAAAATTTCCACCTGCCACTGGTGAGTGGAAATTTAGCCCTGGGGAGTAGAAATTCACCCCAGAAAGGTATGCTATGTCTTGCAGTGGTGAGTAACTTGAGGCCAGGCTAGTAGAACACTACAAATTTTAAGTCCTAAATCTAAGTTATAGTGCCAACACCCTTCCTTAGTTTTTGTTGTGGTTTTTTTTTTTTTGTTTGTTTTTTTCTCTTCTTCCTTTCTAAGGATGAACTCATTCTGTGTCAGTTTCCTGGTGTCCCAAAAAGTGGACCACCAGATAACTAAAGGACAGGATCCTAAAATAAGGAGACTGTTGGGAGGATGCCTGCCTTAAGAGGTTAACAGTTTTTGAATGATGTAACCCTGAAGTTGTTCCCCTTGCACACATTAGCTGTCATTCCTGTAATCTTCCTCCAACACTGATGTTGGAGGTTTGCCTAAGGCGCCGGCATATGCACCACTGATCCACTCATACAGTTCATTTCACAAAGCGGTGAACCAGCCTGTGCATAAACTGTCAGGAGCCATACCATGATTGCATCTTACTGAGCTGTTCCAATGATCCCATGAACTAGAGCAGAATCCACTGCTCAGAATGAGAAGCTACAAAGTGGAGTCTATTCCTATATTTACAGTCCCTCTCCGCTATGAACCTATAGCATTTCGAAGGAATATTATTATTATTTTTTTTTTTTTTAACATTTCTATTGCAACCCTAAAAAAAGGGGGTCCCACAGAGGCAAAGTTGGCCAAGAGTCCCAGTCCTCCTCTGGTGACGTCACTCCCCTTTGCTGCAGACAACAGATGCCAACTATGCACAGAATTAAAGGGACACTAGTCACCAGAACAACTGCAGCTTATTGTATTTGTTCTGGTGAGTAGAGTCATTCTCTTCATGCTTTTTGCAGTAAACATTGTGTTTTCAGAGAAAATGCAGTGTTTACATTACAGCCTATGGATAACTCCACTGGCCATTCCTCAGATGGCTGCTAGAGGTGTTTCCTGGGGCAATGCTACACAGTGAGCAGCACTGCCATTCAGTGTCTCCACCCTGTGCATGCAGACCGTGAACTTTCCTCAGAGATGCACTGATTCAATCCATCTCTATGAGGAGATTGTGATTGGCCAGGGCTGTGTTTGACTTGTGCTGGCTCTGCCCCTGATCTGCCTCCTTGACAGTCTCAGCCAATCCTATGGGAAAGCATTGAGTTTGGTTCAGGCCACCACTTCTGATGAGGTCAACAGGCCGAAGCAATTCAGGGGCACAGGCAGCAGCTTCAAACTTGAATACAAGTAAGATTTTACTATATTTAGGGAGGCAAGGGGGACCAGGGAGGCTATATGGTGGTTTTAACACTACATCTTGTTTTGTGTTCCTTTAACATTAGCCAAGGCCGGAACTCTCGTTTCAGTCAGGCCAATGGCATTGAAGTGGCATTTTCTCTGTATGTGACAGTGTTTCATAGTGAGACGCTACAGATACAGACTCCAAGCACCATGACCACTTAAAAACATTTTAGTTGCCATGATGTTTGGTGTGATTATACAAATCTAACAACATTTATGATAAAGTAAAGGAGAGGTCTGATGAGATACAATAGGTTATTGGTCTATAAGGTTAAGCAGAGAAGATTATGAAATATGGAATAAAGTAGCAGAGTATTGCAGAACACACTTGATTTAGCAAATAAAAAATGCATGCACACTATTTAGGGAATGAAAAATGAAAACACTCATATCTGTTATGCAACCTTTCATTCTGTTGGAAGTCTGCAGATTGTTACATGTTTTGCAAACTGGTTGAAAATGGATAGATGAAAATACATAAAAGTGGCACACACACATCAAACATGGATCTGCCACCAAAAAGCTTTAATCTCCATATTATAGACATGTATGCTTAAAATCTCTTTTTTAAGACAGAAATTTTACTTACCATAGTTTTTTTTGTATTGGGACAGTACACAACCTGCTGTCCAGTGCAGTGCAAATACCCAAAACCGGGTTAATGAAAAGGATTTCAATTGTCTCCAATTCCTCTACAAAACTTCCATACAAAACTTCCCTGGGAACCGTTTTACCAAAGATAGACTGAAATACATATCTACTAAGCCAGATTCTAAATGTAATAAATAAGGAAGAAAGATGTACTGCCACTTATACGAAGGAAACAATTTATGGTAAGATTTCTGGTTTTTCCTTTTGAATAGAGGCAGTGCACATGGCATATATTAAGAGTGGCCCAGGCCTTGTCCAAACCTCCAACTTTTCAAGAGATGCATATATTACTGTTAGACGTGTGAGTAGGCACGTGGTGAGGAATTTTAGGTGATTTACCAACAACAATTTATGCAAGTAAAATTGTATCTTACTTACACAAATGATATCTAAACACATTTATTGTAGTTTAGGGAGCAGGCCTGTGCAAGGATTATGGCTACATAGGCAAAAGTCCTTTTAGATTTTTACCCCCATCTTGTAAACTGAACAAGATGTTCAGACAAAAAAAAAAAAAAAGCACGCAGCCCTTTAATATATGTATGTTTTGTTCATTATCTCCTCCTAGAATAACAAACACGTAAACAAGTCAGGGTACAGAAATCCCTTTCTATATTTTTGTGCTCATCTTCTATAATCTTTAAATTCGAGTCTTGTTCACTAGAAACTGAGCTATAAGATGAGTGAACATCCTGCTGAAGATAAATCTGAGCCAAAATAAAAAATGCAGTTTTTCCTTTCAATTTCTAGTAGATGCTGAGGCTGCCTGTGTATGCATAGTTGTTTGCATTGTAGTTGCTTTTACATCAGGTAAAGACTGCCTGTAAACTAGCTTGGAACCATCTATTTGAAGGGACCAACATTACCTCTTGCTTAGAGAGAGTTTTCAAGCAATTCCTAGTAATGTTAATCAGTGTTTCTTACAGTCATCAGGGCTTTGTTTCTATACAGCTTTCAGACAAAATCTTTGATTACAAAGTTGGTTTAGGTTTTTGAGAAGTATTATGTACTTTGTCAGATTTTGCCACAACCTTATCTTTGCAGTTGGGCAAAAAAAAAAAAAAAACAATTAAAAAAAAATGTATCATAGTAGGACTTAGAAGCACAAAGAGGGAATACTCTCACCTTAAAAGGCCTCTTTTCAAGTGAGGTAGAAGCAGGCGGTACACAAATAACCTGTATTGACTGATGCCTTGTGATCACATGGGCCTAGCAGCCATTAAACCGCGTTTGAAATTTTTTGGCACTACTCTGCTTAATTGTTTGCAAATGCAATATGACGCAACTAAGTAGTGGAACTCCTATTCATTCCATCCATGCATTCCACTTGATGCAAAACCCTATGACCATTTTTTTCCTGCTGCCTCCTGGGCCGGCCTTCACAGCAGCCTAATGGAAGGCGCACTAGATATGGTGCGCACAGGCATACACAACTCTCCTCCACCGGGGCCATGCATTATACGTATGTGACTGCATTTGGCTGCCATTAAAAGATCACAGATGAAAACAAGGTCTCCCTCCTAAATTTGCGGACAGCCCCTACCACATTGAATGCATATAAAAAAATATCACATCCGTGCTTAAAATAAACACACTTATAGCTATTGGTTTGAATAGTTGTAGTCTATTAAAATTCTTAAAAAGCAAAGGGAAAAAAAATTACCTGCGCTCTTTCCTTAATCTCTATGTATATTTAGACAAATGGAGGTCATTTAGTTAATCCAAGGCCATTGGAGGGAATGCCCGCCTGCCAATGTCAAGGCAGACCCCCCCCCTAAGCGGGTCCTACACTGACCCTTCACCTTGCTTCCTTGAGATTCTGGCAAAGACATCTCCACTGAGACAGAGAGGGGTATTTTTTTTTTTTTTATATATATACACCCCTATATACTTAAGCCTTAATAGGGAACACATGGAATGGTCGGCTGCTCACTCCCATCACTCCTGGGCGGCAGCAATGACTACAGTACACATCAGCCCCAATATATAGTTAAAAACCAAAGAGAAGAAAAAAATAAAAAAGAGTTACCTGCGCTCTTTCCTTAATCCCTAACTTTTTTCCTTTGGTTTTTAACTATATATTGGGGCTTATGTGTACTGTAGTCATTGCTGCCGCCCAGGAGTGATGGGAGTGAGCGCAGGACATATCTTTTTGTATTTGTATTCACTTTTTGTATCACGCAGCTTTGTTACAATGCAGCCTCCCATCCCATGTGTTCCCTGTTAAGGGTTAATAAGTATATAGGGGTGTATATAAAAAAAAATACCCCTCTCTGTCTCAGTGGAGCGGTCTTTGCCACAAGCTCAAGGAAGCAAGGTGAATGGTCAGTGTAGGACCCGCTTAGGGGGGGGTCTGCCTTGACGTTGGCAGGCGGGCATTCCCTCCAATGGCCATTGGAGTAACTAAATGACCTCCATTTGTCTAAATATACATAGGGATTAAGGAAAGCGAGCAGGTAACTTTTTTCCTTTGGTTTTTAACTATATATTGGGGCTGATGTGTACTGTAGTCATTGCTGCCGTCCAGGAGTGATGGGAGTGAGCGCAGGACATATCTTTTTGTATTTGTATTAAAATTCTTGCCTATGGGAAAACATTTATACAAACTGAGGGTCAAAGTGACAGTTTTCTTATGAATGCCTGATTATCAGCACTTTCAAGAGCAGGATTACCAGATAGATGGTAGGAGAGAAATGCCCTCTATGGAGATCCAGTTGAGCATGCAAAAACCAAGGTCTGTGTCAGAACTATAGGTCTGATTGGATAGGGGATGGCAATCAGGATGACCCAAGCTCAAAATAATCAACACAATGAGACAACATGACCATTGGTAGAAAGACTGACCAGTCTTAAATTACGGGGAATTATAGGTTATCTCAAGATAATTTAAATTAAATAGAATTTTAAATTTCTAAAGATATTGTAAAGTAGAGTCATGACCAAACCAGAGAGTCAAATGCCTGCAGATGCACAGATCCTACAAGCTGCCTTCGCAAACTTTGCTCCAAATGGTTTCCCAATCAATAGGGACACCACTCAGGACAACTCTGATATTGAAAGGGAATTTGCTGTGCATTTCTGTTTCATAGAATATCTCCAACAGAATGAAAACTGTAAGAAGTAGAATAACAGATACTATAAGCAGAAACAGCACAAAAGGCACACAAGCTATAAAGTCTTGATATTCAGAAGAAATCACCTCTGCTTCTCAGCGTGAGGGAGCTCCGATATGAGGCTGTAAGTAACATGACATACATCATTATACATATTGTATGGGATCTTAGTGAATAGCATTTTCTTAAAGTTACTTTCATGAAGTCAATTTAAAACCACAGAGCAAACTAAGCCCCTGCATTTTCTCTTTTCTGTGACTTATTTAATCCATATTTTTAAAACTAAATTAAATTCACCCCAAGTGACTACTGCACTTTGACACAGATACGCACTTTAGGTTATCATTTAGAATTGTATACATTTGATTTTTACAGGAATATAAAAGCTCCAAAAGACATTATGCTATGTGGGGAGAGCAACATTTTGAATTAAAAAAATTCAAACATGTAAATTTTTAATAAAAAAAAAAAAAAAATTATATATATATATTTACAAAGCAATATTTAAATTGAGACACAGCAAAATATAATTAAACCTAATCAATAAGCTCTTCAGAGTAGCACAAGTAAATGCCTCAGAATGATATTTGGGTATGACACTCCTTTTTGAAATGAATACTCCAAGTATGCCACCAGTCACATTCTCCAAGAGATCCAGATGCCCCTGTACAAAGTTTCCCATAGATCTCCAAGTTAAGCCCAGCAGTGCAGGACCTGCTAATTGTTGGAGAGCACTCTCAGCCAACAAGCTAAGAGCTCTGCATTGCTGAGCTATACAACCGCAGAGGCGGCTGTCCTGGAAGTGACCTACACCCAGCAGTCAAAAGGTACGCTGTCAACACTAAAATCACGTACGTTATTACTAACCTGATCTCAGAAGTCTGTCTATTCGTTCAACACTAGGAGACTGCATCCGACCGCGTGGGCTTCCTGGAGTAGATGCTTCAGAACTGACATCAGTGGAGTCCTCAAGAGTCATGAAGAGAAGCTCTTTGACACACTTGTGACAGATGCTATGCTGACAGGGCAAGATTAGAGGATGTGTGTACAATTCCTTGCAGGCAGGACATATGAGTTCCCTTTCAATATTTTTAATTGTTACCTTGAGGGAAGAAAACAAAACCATGATAAGCATAAGCACACATATTGAAAACATCAAATATCCTCCTGTCTAAATCATGTGCCAATGCAGTAACAATCTTCTAAGAAACCGAAAACCTCTAACACCCACCTCCAGTCCACCCACATTCTTCCCACACAGTCTTCATTGATTTGCCCTGCTTGGGAACACCGGACTATAATAAACTAGCTTTAGATACATGTTCCTCCAAAAGCATTAGATTTAAAAATAAATAAATCCAAGAAAGAAAGAAAATAGAACATCATATTCATTTTTACTCAATTGTGTCAACTCTGTTTTATGCCTAATTGAGTTTTCTTACAAAAATTATAAAAATGTTTCCACAGTCCAATATTCCAGAAAAGTGAAAACTAGACTGAAAATTCAATAAGGTCTTAAAACATATTTTTGCTTGAATGTTAATTTAAAGGAACACTCCAAGCACTATCACCACTACAGTACGATTGTGTCCTCTCGTTCCTATTGCAAGTAGTAATGCTGTTCTAGCAGGTATTGGCTTCTGGCAGACCTCATTGTAAAACGGTATGACTACGGTAGCACAAGTACGGTAGCACAAGTACGGTACTATGTTACTATGGGAATAGAGGAGCACTCCTGGCACTATATATCAATACAACGTGCTATAGTGGATATGTGGTTTGAACTGTTCCTTAACTCTTACACCAAGAGTAATGTCCCATTTGAGAAATTAAGAGTGGTTTCGCATTACAACGTGCTAAGAGGTCAATATGCAGTTTTATGTGCAAGAGCCTCAATACAAAGAGATCATTTTTCCAACCAGCTGTTAGGAACTGAAAAGGCAGCATGGGAGGTTTCCTCCCTCCTCTCCGCATAAAACAGTTAACATATACAAGAGTGCAGAAGAGACAAATTGTCGACATATGACATTTAAATGGCTGCAATAGTTGATCTAGTTAGAAGGGACCGTAAAAGCTGCAGTATTTCAAATCTGTGAATGGGAATTAATATTTTATAAACTGCTCTATTTCTGTTGAAACTAAATACAGAACATTTCTGTTAATTATAGGGCAAGCAGATGTGCGCTTATCAGGGGGCACGTCATAGATGGGAGAGGCCACTACAAACAGACTATACGGCCAAAATGTTAAGTTGTCTTTTGAGAACAAAAATAAACTGAAACAAGACAAAATATAACAATGGAGCCACACATGAGGCTTCCTCACTGCAAACTTTAAGAAAGATGAAAACTTGCAAGATATCCCCCAATTATGCAAACAGTAAAGAGTAATTCCTTGAAACATCTTGGCCACATTTTGCCAAAGATTTAGTCTTAGACAATGACATTTTGTGAGAAGATCTGGGGAAGATAACAAGGGTCTTGCAGGACCTTCTATTGAACCCCATTTTTTACTACTATTACGAAAGACTGTGGCACAGAATATGGGGTTGTGAAGGAGGAACTGTAACAGGTAAGTATAACTAATGTCTTCCGCCTCCCACTGAGAACCACAATATTGCAATGAATGTGAAAAAAAATATGCAAAGTCAAGAATAAAAATAAAAACGCACACACACACCTATTTGCCGCCATAATTTCTGAATATCAAATTATGTCAAGAGTCATCTCCATTGAATTTGCCAGCTCGGAGGTAAATTAAGACACTTAAATCTACTACAATTTACCAATACTGAGAATTATATTCTAAAAGGGAAAAAATTGCTTATTAATAAAAGTGTGAGACCATTCTCATCTAAATGTTACTTAAACACCCGACTTTCACATTTGATACTGGGCAAATTAAATTGAATGGACTTCATCTATTGCAAGAATTTAATTTGTTTCGATCCCTCCTTTTAAATACCTTGAAGGATAGTGGTGGGAGTGTAAATTAAATTGGGGAGACCTGGCTATGTCTGCCTGCTCTATTACAGTGAGAGACCTCCAAGCCCTGCCTTCCAAAACATTGCACTGCTGCTACAAATGGGGAATACTGATCAGCCTGGTGGCCAGCGCTAGCCCCTATTTATAGCAGAAGTGCAAATCCCATGATGCTCAGCCCTGCTGACTAAATATCAAGGTGTTGCATTTCTGCCACATTTGGTGTGAGGTTTTGGCCCAGGCTGAACCACATTTGTATTAAAAGTTTGAATCATTCGATGGGCAGCCAGCAGGTTGAGCACCATGGGCATTACACTCTTTTAAACAACGTCACCCACAGCTCTGGTTGCCTGAGGCTTCCATTTTATCCCTTCATGCCCCTGGAATGAGTAAGACATTAAAAATGTAATCAGTTTTCCAAATTTTATTCAACGAATATACAAAGAAATTCAGACTGACAAATTTAAAGGACAACTATAGAGCCAGGAAAACAAACTCTTTTTCCTGGCACTCTAGGGTCTTTAGGTTCCCCCACCCTCAGGGCTCAAGGGGGTAAACACTGGCCTTTCTCTAGCGCCGGGCTTAAAAACATTTTGCACTTACCCAATTCGAGCACTGATGTACCTCGGCGCTGTGTCAAGCTCCGCTCCTCCTCCGATGTCACCCGGCGGTGGGACCTAATGTGCATGCACAGTGAGCACGCACTCGCATTAGGACTACACCCTAGAAAAATATTGCTTAATGCTTTACTATGGGTTTTTAGATAACACTGGATTTCCCCATGGAGAGCATGAGCGTTATTGCTATTACACAGTACATCAGATCTAGCACGTGGTAGAGGTGACAGTTGAATATTTATACTGAAAAGAGGAATCCTCGCCAAACAGTTTTGAGGAGAACATTATTCTAGAAACATGGGGTATAGAGAGAAAATTTATTTTTAAACTCCAATATAATAAAAATTTTATATTTTTATATTTTTTTTGTGTAAGTTTTTTTATCGGAAAATATCAGGCATTACAGTCATAATTGTTCATGCATTACAATTGTTAGTAGATTACAGTAGATTTAGTTGCATTTTTTCCACCAGTATGAGCCATTAGACACAAGGAATATTAAGTTCTTGATAAGGCAGTAGTGTGGGTCGAGATGACCTTAATGGCTGTTTACTCGTGGTGGAGCATTTGTTGGGAAGCCTGTCTGCAATTTTTGTGCTTTTTTGGTAAATATCTTAGTAAATATCTTAGTTTAAAATAACATAACTAATGCTTGAATATTGGAGAGGGGTTGAAGGTACCGACTCGACTACGCGTCTCGCCTCAAGAACCAGTGATATTGTGATTGCGAATTCTGATTCTATTTTCTTGAGAAGTGTTTATTTACATTGTTTATTGAGTCTATTTTGTACGGCATCTGTCTTGTGTTTGTATGTACTGGACCCAGGGAGTCCATATGTCTGATATTAGGGAGTATTTGTGTGTTTTGGTATAGTGGATATCTTCCATTAGGCGGGTAGATTCGACCCTCTGAATCCATTCTCTAATTGTGGGAGCTCTCGACTGTTTCCAGAGTGTGGGTATGAGGGCATTTGCTATCAGTAGGTGGGTAATGAGTGATTTTGTGGGTTTGGGCATAGGTTCAGGGAAGTGGAGAAAGAGTATGATTTCAGGTTTGGGGGGGTATTTTAATGTTTGTTATTAGATGGATCATCTTTGATATTTTGGACCAGTATTCTGTGATGATCGGGCAGTGCCACCATATGTGGCCTGGGGTGCTGGCAGGTTGTCCGCATCTCCAACAGGAGTTGGAGACCTTTGGGAAGATCTTGTTTAATTTCATAGGTGTTAGGTGCCAGCGAGTTATCCGCTTGTAGTTGCCTTCTTGAGATTGAGTACTAAGGCATGTTTTATGGATTTTAAGGAATAGGTTTGCCCAGTCCTTCGGGGAGATATGAATGTTAGGTTCTGATTCCCAGGAATTGGTGAATTTGGGTAGCGGGTGGTCATTGTCAATTGTTAGTAGTTTGTTAGTGTTTTTATCTTGGTGGTTGTGCAGAGTTTTTCAAATTTTGTGAGTTGTCTTTTTCCCTCCGTTAGTTCTCGATGGGATGAGAGAAAGTGTGCAAGTTGCCTTTGTTGGTAGTGTTGTAATGTTGTCTGGTTAGTGTCTGTGGTTGCGGTGGGGAATTTCCCGGCGTGTCGGGCCTGCAGCATTGATTGTAATGTAAGGTAATGTGTGGCTTGTAGTGAAGCGAAGGAGGGTTGGAATGCTCCTGGTGGGAATTGTGGATTGCGGGTAATCTGATATAGTGGGGATGGCTGAGGGGCTATATTATGCGACATTCTAATTTCTTCCCATATCTTAAGAGTTGGAGTAATTGTAGGGTGGTGGTTGTGTAGTGGTTTTAGGGTGAATTGTTTTTTTTGCACATTTTTATATATATTTTTATCAAGCTTGACCATACAGTTAGAACGTTAGAGTAAAAATGAATGTAAATAGAACAATTAATGCTTAACTACGCTATTTTCACCATACCAGTATAGTCGTGATGTCACAAGCTAATCATGCTGCTTAAAACTAGGGACATGTACGTTTGTTTTAGTTTTTTTTCAATAATCAAGAGTACATTAGTACCTGCACTTTGTATGGTTATTCTGCATTCGTAGTGGTTTAGTCGCAATATGTTATAAGTATAAAGTATAACAGACAGGCATACAGTGACATATCCCATTGGTGTATACAAGAATACACATGAATAGGCATAGTGAGGTTGAGAGATGTCAAAAATACTGCACTTTTCTATAGTAACATAGACCTCTGTATCAGCTATAAACAAATGTATAGTCGTAAACTTAAACATGGGGACAGTGCTAGTAAGGAGTAGGCCATTACATAGTATTGTTAGCTAGGGAAACCACCAACGGCTAGTTAGCTTAGCTCGCTGAGTGTAAGAACATGGTAAAGTGGGCAGGAGGGCTGTAGTGAGCAGTGGGACATTTGGTACCTTCACCCTATACCCATGGCATGTAGGCAGGGATCAGGCCCGCACAAACGGTAATAAGGGTCCTCTGGGATTCTGCATCCCGCTGCAGTACACCCAGTCTCATGGTCGTAGGCTACTCTTCCCGTGATAAGGCAAAGTCCTTGGGTCTGCCGGGGGCCACGGACTCCGCTGGTATGCAGCCCACGTGCTGCTCGCTGCCGCCGCACGGGTCTCTGACCTGCTGAGAGTTTCCATGGTGGATCTTGGGTGTGCAGCCCTTGCGCTGCTCTCTGCCGCCGCCTGAGTCTCTGACCTGCTGAGGATTTCGGCGCAGGATCTCGGATTTGCAGCCCTTGTGCCGCCCGCTGTTGCTGTTTTGGTCTCAGACTAGTTGGGGGTTTCCGGGCAGGAACTCTGCAATCAGGTTGAGTTACCTGGACCATCGCTGCAGATGATTTCCTCCGTTCCCTCAGATTCCGCCAGAACCTCCGGCATATGGCATTGAATGCCCGTGTGAAGCTCTCTTCCCAGCTCTGTGCCGGTTCTTGTGTTTCGTGCTTCGCATCAGCGCTGCTGTCAGCCATCTTAGGTCGGCCACGTGGGGGCTTTTTCTGCAAGATTCGCTCAGGAGCCACAGGTAAGTGAATGAATACTGCTTGGTGGGGACCAGGATAACCCCCGCTGGCCCAGAGGGGGGGAGTACGGGGCACTATAGATCCACAAAGAAGAGTGCCTGGGCCACCCCGGTCAGAGAGATCGGCCGCTTCTCCCGCCGAGGTAACACCAGGCCGCACGTAGATGGCCGCCACTGCTTGGCTTTGAAAGTGTGGAGGTCTGGATCTCACTCCAGTGTTGCCTGCATGGTGCTAAACAAGTTTGCCAGTGTGAGTTAGTCCAGTAATAGGGCGTTTGTCACCCTTCAAGTCGATTTTAAGCCAAGATTAGGCAGGAGCCCATGCTTTCTGCATCCATCCAGAATGGCGTCCAAGCCCCGCCCCCTCAGGGTGAATTGTTTTTTAATTTCTGCGAAGAAGCTTTTTGGTATTGCTATAGGAATGGTTTGTAAGAGATATAGGAGTTTCGGTAGTATGTTCATCTTGATTATGTTTATACGGCACAGCCAACCAAAGATAGGCTTGTGCCATCTCGTTAGGTCCTTTGAAATTGTTTGTAGAAGAGGAGGGAAGTTTAGGTCGTATAATTGGGTTAAACGTATAGGTAGGTGAATCCCTAGGTATTTAATTGCCTTTGATGCCCAAATAAACTGGTAGGAGTGTTGTAAAATATCTTTAGTGAATGTTGAAATGACTAGAGGTAGGATTTCGCTTTTAATGAAGTTGACCTTAAAGTTTGAGATGTGTTGGTATAGGGAGATTTCCTTTAAGATTTGTGGCATGGAAGATTTTGGATGTGTGAGAGTGAAAAGAAGGTCATCGGCAAATGCCGCTACTTTATATTCTGTATCCTTCACTACTATGCCATGGACGGATGTGTGGTCTCTAATGCCTTGAAGAAAGGGTTCCATGATCAAGAAAAACAATAAGGGGGATAGGGGGCAGCCCTGTCTCGTGCCATGGAGATAGTGAGGGGTTCCGAAAGTTGACCGTTGATCCTAATTCGTGCTCGGGGTTTGGAATATATAGATTTTACCCATTGAGACCAGTTAGTGCCGAATCCCATAGTCTTTAGTGTGGCAAATATCAAGGACCAGTCCACCCTATCAAATGCCTTTTCGGCTTCTATTAATAGGAGTAGGCTTTCTGATTGTGATCGATGTGCTAAATGCATTAGATTGATCAGTTTTGTGGTGTTGTGTTTGGCTTCCCTTCCGGGGATGAAACATGCTTGGTCGGGGTGGATCAGGTCTTGTAATAGACGACGTAATCTAGTAGCTAGAATTTTGGTGAAGAGTTTGAGGTCCGTATTGATTTATGAAATAGGGCGGTAGTTACCGCATAGAGAGGTGTCTATATCCGTTTTGGGAATTAGGATTATGTGTGCTTCTAGTGCTGCATCTGGAAGGGTTGGGCTTGTGGTGAGGGAGTTGAAAGCCTTAATGAATGGGTTGGCGAGTGTGTCTGAGAATATATTTTATAGTATTTGGCTGTGTAGCCATCTGGGCCCGGACTTTTCCCAAGAGTGGATTGCTAGGTTGCTAATAAGAATTTGTCTGGTGTTATTTGTGGTTCCAAATGTAGTAATAGGTTTTGGGGTGTTGTTTGTTTTATTCGAGGGGTTAAGTAGTGTTCTAGTTCTAGAGCTATTGGAGTGGAAGATCGAATGTTATAGAGTTGTGTGGAGAACCTCTGGAATTCATGTAGTAAGTCTGATTTTATGTGATCTGTGTCCCGATCGTGTTTTGAACTTGGATATAAATGTAGTTTGTCTCGTGTCTTTAAGTGAGTTAGCTAGGAGGCGTCCACATTTGCCTCCTTTGGAGTAGTAAGAGTATTTGGTAAACGTCATTTGTCGTTTAATTTGGGTGTTCATCAGCTTTTGCAGTTCCGTTCTCTTATCGGTTAATAGTTTGTATGTTTCTAGGGAGATATTCTGTTTATGGGTGGCTTCTAAAGATCTAATTTTGGATGTAAGAGCTTCAGCACGCTCTGTTCGTTTCTTTTTAAGCCTAGATGCTATCGTGATGAGGTGACCCCTTATGACGCACTTATGGGCTTCCCAAGTTGTCGTGGGAGATGTTGTGTGATCAGGATTTTCGTCAAAATATTGTTGTATCGTGTGGCGGATGGTTGTGATTGTGTCCGCGTCGTTTAGTAGCAGGTCGTTTAATTTCCATTGGAAGGAATGTGGTGGGAGGTGGGGTATGTATGACGAGGGACAGGTTTGCGTGGTTGGACCAGGTAATAGGACCATATTCACATTTTTGAACTAGATGTAGATATTTGTGTTGGGTGAAAAACATATCAATTCTGGAGTAAGATTTTGTAGAGTGCGAATAGTATGAAAAGTCTCGGTCTGTAGGGTGCGTTGTGCGCCAGATATCGAATAGTCCAATTTATATTTTATCACCAAATGACCGCATATTTTAAAGAGACCTATAAAAATCAGCAGCCTGGTAGCTCTAGACTGGAAATACTGGTAATTAGTCATTCAAAAGATTGAGGCATATCAGTTGACTGTGACCTTTTAATGTCGAATGCTGCTACTTCTCCCTTGAGAATAAGTGCAGGGGAGAGGGGCACCGAATAATTGATTGTAACAGCCAGTTCTAAAGTGGGCTGTGTTTTCATTCAGCCAGATGTCCCCAATGCATATTTACTCATTCTATTTCTAAAAAGGTCAATAACACACAAGACACTTTCCATAGGACAGATCATTTTTATCTTGCACATTATATTCTAATGTATCAGGAATGGCAATTAACAGGATCTATGATCAGAATGGTTTCTAGTTCTGACAACTGCAATCGGACAACTCTTTCAGCTTGCATTGACCAAGGGATCTTAGATTATTGAAGGAGAGGGGTTGGAGCCTCTTGCTTTGCATTCCAAACTTTGGCAGTTTTTGTGATTTGCTTTTTGACATCCCAACTACTTTAAGAAGAAGTGCCACTTTCAATGGATAACGAAATCTGGAAGGAGAGGGAATTCATAATGACTCGGTATATGAATCTTACTGGAGAATTTCAGGGTGGGGTGGGGTTTAGATGTATGCCCATTCCAGCAATAAAAAAAGT